AGCCCACAATATTTGATTTAGTTTTGAGACTTTCCTCATTAGTGATGCTGGTGCAAGTGCCGAGGTATAAATACATAGCTGATAAAATGCTATTGCTGGTTACATTAAGCGGTCTTTGTGGTTATAGCAAAAAGTTACTTTATTAATATGACAAGTTAAATAAATAGGAGCTTTATATGGCACTGACAAAGAATCAACAGCCCCTAACTCTTAGTCATTGAGGACTGAGGATGCTTTGCCTCTTGCAGAAAGACAGTCATCTGCTTGGATTGAACGCATAGTCAGTTTATCAGCACCTAGAGTTTAGTGTAAGGGTGGTCTTAGTTTTAACCTGGCTAAGGATTTTTTCTCTGATAGCTTCACATTTTCCAGTCCCTCTTGACTATGATATCTATTGCTGAGAAACTAGTGAAACCTTTTTCTGCAAAAATACATTTGAATTGCAAATTTGGATTTTACCACATTTGTAACGCTGTTGTTGTTCCTTTCTTTGAAGAGTCAAATGCATGAGTTTTTTATCTAACACTCCAACTTATGAAATGTGAACTTTAAGTTGGAATATTTGTCAAGTGGGAAATAGTCCCTGGTACATAGTGCTTAGTCAAGGCCTATGCATTACTTACAGCCCACTTAATATTTTGAGAATTTAAGGAGTGTATATAGACCTTTGTATGGTTTCATCATACAAGTGAATTTAGCATAGAGTATTTCTTAGAATTTTTGTATTTACACTGTGATAGTTAAAGATGACACCATATCAGGGAACAGAAACAATTGCATGTGATTGGTGTGAATTGCAAATATTCACAATGAACCATTTGCCCAGTATCTGCAGACTAAGAATTATTTACTAAAGAAATTTGGGAATTATTTACAGTGGCATGATGACGAAAGAATATTGGGCTATGCTCACAGTTATATAGAGAAACTTAGTTTATTTGTTGCTAGTTATTTGCTAATCTCTACTAGTAATGCTTTTTAAGTTTTAAGTTTTTAAAGTTTAAGTTATTTTTATCAACAACCACACACGTTCTCATGATTACAAACCTCAGTAAGTCAATCCCTGTTTTTGTTTAGCTTTTGAAATATCTTTCCACCGACTATGAATTTATATTAAGAAGGAACAATTTTCCCATTAGTGTGTAGACTTAAATATCTAAAATTGTAGATTAAACTTTTCTCAATTTTCCTAAAGCTCTGTGACACAAATGTGTCATTTGATCCTCTTCATTCGTGCTCTGTTTGTTTCCCTTTCTTTCTTGTTTTAGTCTTCTAGGTGCATTTAAAACCTAAATTAACTTTAACAATTAAACTACGGATATAGTTTTGTCTGCCACAGCTACTTAATCATGGTTGCCAGCTTTCTTTGTTTTCACTCTTCTCTTCGTGTTTTCATAATTTCCAATTCCTGCTGTAGCCACCTGTAGACTCTGCCTGCTTTGTAATCTCCAGACTCTCACTGAAATTCCTTGTCATGTTTCCATTTTGTATAATATAATCGCTTTAGTTCCTTTCATTCATTCAGTATGATAAATGGGTAGTGTCTTCAGGACAGCATGAGAATGGGTAAAACTTTTTGTTGCTGAAAGCCCTTCAGTGTCAATGATGTACTGTTTTGTTAATCCTGAAGAAGAGAAATTGCAGTTTAGCTTTAATCCCTGGTCACACGCTGTTCAGATCTTTTTTTATATTCAGAATTGTACAGATCAGGTGTTCTCAAATTTCAATATATTTCTCATGAGAATCTGCATTTCAGGCTTCTATTCCTTCCTCACTGGCTTGCTGTTCCACTTTGGGAATGGCAGTCTTCTATTTATTTATAAATACTGGCACTGATTTTAGGTGCCTTTACTTTTGGTTGACAAACTTGAGCCTGATTTATAAAAGTGATGAGCACCCGGAACTGATTTATATGGGAGCTGTAAGAAGAAAGAGGATTCAAAAATTAAGATTCTGGTGCCTCTATTTGTGCACCCAAAATTGATAGCCCTTTTTGAAATGACTTTACCTTCTCTGCTTGTGGACCTGTTTGTATAAAGGGGATAACTACTACACTGATTTTATAAAGCTAATTGATGAATTGCCATAAAGCTTTTTGAGTTCCTCTATATAAACGGTTTTAGGTAATTGCAAAGCTACTTTTTTTTTTTTAAATAATGGCAACACATAGGATCTCTTGAATTCCTGACTACTTCTTGCTCTTGTCTCTGGGTGATAATTGCAAGAATATTTGTTGCTAGACTGACAAAGGCTTCTAGTATTAATAAGAAATTTGCACTTTAATATCGCCTTCCATCTCCTTTATTTCCACTTTTCATAATGGCACACAGTACAACAGATGAAATATGTTTTTATTCTCCATACAATAGGTATAAACAGGAAAATACCCTATAAGAAAATATGAAGTAATTTGATAAGATTTCCAAGGATTACTGCCAAGTGTAAGAACAGAGCTTTTTTTTTTTTAATTGAGATCTCATTTTTGTTCTTATTCCCTGCTGTTGGCAATTGAAGCTTAGAAATATGGATTTCCTCTATCAGTTCTGTTATTAATTTGCCAGTCATGGCTTAGGCAAATATTGCCAAGGCTTTCCGTATGTTGTATATAAAAATATAATGGTGGTGTTGATTATAGCTTCATAGTTCTGATTGCTTTGGGACTCGGGATTTCCATTTAGGAATACTTTGACCTATCCCCAAACTTTTCATAATAAAGAGGTATTTCTCTGAATATTTCTGTGATTGTCTAAAGCAGGTAAACAATTTGGACACTTTTATTCTAAGAGAAAAATGGTAAAGTAGCAAGTGCTGAGTGATACTGTTTTTTACCTGTTTAAAGTTGCTGTTGCAATTTTTTGGCCACCCATACATCAGAAATGCAGCAAAGAATAACTCGTCATTCATCACACATGTACCTATTGATTTGTGCATAGTATAATTTGGTTAAAATTTTGAAAGGATAGCTTTTACAACAAATAGTATGGATTTGAGTGATTGATATTTTGGGGATTTTTATTTATTGTGTTAATGGGAGAAATATATAGGATAAACCTTAACCATAAAATGACATTATATATTGGAATATGTATGAAGTGTAATGTGCATGTAGAAAATATGTAACTTAGCTCTTTGTAAGAAGGAAAAGTTTTTACTAGAGTCCTACAACATTAGGTATAGCAAGCCAAATTTTAAGCCAAAACAAGTTGATATTGGCCCTTTAATCTTCCTTTATCACAACAGTTAAGATTGAAAATGTCATGTGGTTTCTAGACCTGATAAAGGAAACAGAGCCGGATTTAGCAGCCCATTTGATGAGAGGCAGCAGAATGACAGCAGATAAGATCTGCATATGGGTCTGTTTCTCAGTCCAGCAGCTAAGTGAAAACAGAACTGGGAGGTGACTTCTGAATAGCTCTTCCAGCCTCTTAAACTTTTCACCTTTTGTGAATATTTGCATGAAAAACTGAGATTATCATATATCAGGGGGTAGCCGTGTTAGTCTGTATCTACAAAAACAACAAAGAGTCTGGTGGCACCTTAAAGACTAACAGATATCTTTAAGGTGCCACCAGACTCTTTGAGATTATCATAGTGATACTAATACCCACATCTTAAATTGCTCTTCATACATTCATCTTGGTGCTTTTCAAAGAAAGTAAGTATTATTATTCTCATTTTGCTGATGGGACGCCTGAAACACAGCATGAAGTTACTTGCACAAGGTCACCCAGGATGCCCATGGATCTCTTTGGAACCAAATTTATATAATTTTCACTAATCTACACATCTTTTCATCATGCAAATAGTGAAATACAACTATTTGAAAAGTAAATTTTCCCCAGGAAAGAAAAAGTAGGCAAAGTTACCCTTCCAAACACAATAATTTTGTCTGCTAAATTGAATATCATCTCTACAGAACCAAGTGGGACATTCAGGCCATAGTTTATATCTTGTATGGTCCTAAACAATCCTTGCTATGGCTTAATATTCACACTCTTCAAATGTACCTAAGTTAACTCTCTAGTCCCATTGGTTACTCAAGCTTCATTCTAAAATTATTTGATTCTACTGTTCCCTAGCATAGCCCCTGGGTAATTTTAGCTGCCCTTCACTGAATTGGTCTAGCCTTATTTTTCTGGTATTGAGGTGCTCAGAATGGGCACCATAGACTACACGGAGTCTCACCAGAGGTGTCTAGAGAAAAACAATCTTTGGACTACCATCTGCATATGCAACCCAAAGGTCCCAGTGGCTTTTTTGCCATCGGGTGTCATTGAAAGCCTTTATCCAATATCTTTTCCAATGCCAGTCATAGGTGAATAAAGGTAAGTAAAATTTTATACCAAGTTTTTACATGCTTTCTGCTGAATTTCAAGTCCTCAAAAAAACTATTCCCACAGTCATATCTTTCTGAATGTACTTTATATAAATGGATAAGGGGTATTAAACAAAGAGATACACAGAACAAATAATGCAAATAGTAATCTTGAGCTGCATATCACAAAGCTATTAAGATGCAAATTTGTATTTGTCTGTTTTCTTTTGTATATCTTATTTGTAATTTGATTTTTTTTACCCCTTTGACTTTGCCTAACAGAGAAAGATAACTCCTAATATGTAAGAGAAAATCTGATAATGTGATCCATAATCTTTGTCCTAGTATCAGATTTTGTCATACAGTATTATGATTATTTTTGATTATTACTAAGGCAACATACAGGAGACTAGTACAAAATGAATCAAAATATAACATGATGATGCTGTTTAGATGTGAGCAGAAGGGGTCTTGGGCTGTTCATTGTTTCTGTGTGGGTTTCAATGAGGTTCAGCCAACTCTTATCTTTTTTTTCTATCATTTGTACATTTAAGAAGTCTTAAATCTCTATTCACTGTATTCAGTACAACTTTGTTTTGTATTATAACTTTGTTTTAAAGGGACTTGTTTGCTTTCTGTGTTTGGTGTCTTCCATGCCCCAGTAACATGTGTCTTGTTTCAATAGGTCACAGCAGTGCATCTGCTGGCTGTCTGCTACCATCAGTTCTGGAGGTGCTAGCAATGGCATTGTAAGGTAGGTAACACTACTTATATACTCTCCAGCTCCAGTTTCCTACATACATACTTCACTGCTCTCTTCTGTTGATGCTAGGCTGGATCGCTGTGAGGAAGATGTCTCTGGATCTTTTGATCTGGAAGATGGAAGCACCATTTAGTTAAATCAAACAGCTGTGATTTATGGGGCATGCAACTGGGAAGAAGGAAAATATATTTTACTCAAATATAACTGCCTCTTGAGCGGGAAAGTGCTCCAATGGCATCGGCAAAATACGTAATAGAAATAAATCTTCAAAGCGATGGTAGAGTGTTGAAATTTCTTACAAACCCTTGAGCCACTTTACATGAGTGAGTTTCCAGTCCTCTTCATAGGAAAACAAGCTCCCAGTCAGTTTCCAGCTGATGATTCCATTTACTCTGTTAACATGAACTTAAACCATGAATCCCTGGGCAGAGAGGAACAGAGCTATAGGGAATAGCTGTGGATGTGTTCCATCCCCACCTGCAAAGGGAGGCTGGGGATGGATTGGAACATGCCTTACTACCATTCTCTGCTCCCCCCACCCCCATGTACAGAGGGTTTTTTTTTTTGCCCTTTATTTAAAAAAGAAAATATCTCTTTTGCCTATGCCTTCTTATGTAGTTCACCCTGTGCTCTCACCTTAATTTTGTTGTTTACTTTTACAAAGCATTTTGGGGAGAAAGAGTTTCTTCCATACAAAGCAACAAAGTCTTGTGACACCACAGGTCTCTTAGTCTGAATCTGTAAAAAGCAACAAACACGGCTACCCCTCTGATACTCTTCCATACAATATTTCAAAAATAATTGGATTTTATCTGGCACTGGTCTAGATGTTAGAAGTAGTAACTGAGTCAGTGGCTCATTGCTGTTTCTCATTTCCTTCCCTCCACCCAAATCCATCAGTCCCAGACATTTCTTGAATTCTGTATTGCTTCTTTGTCAGGGTCTGTCAGAAACCTTATCTGCATGTCCGCTCCCAGGAGTGAGAAGCTGGAATGAGCTCCTGAAGGACAATTACACAAATGACCCTTCTACCAGATGATGATGACCCTGGTGCAAATCACCTAAATGAAACTGCAACAGTAAAATAACACTAAAATTAAACTCAGAAAATGAGTTCCAAACCAAAAACAGAGTGGACAGGAGCTGAACAGCCCAGTACAGAAACAGAAAGTGGCTGCAACGAACCTCTTAACAGGCCAAGTTATGTATAAGGATGTGCACTATTTTCCTGCAATGAACAACCCAGTCGTTTGCTTGGTTTATTGTGGGCAACAGTTGAATTGCAGACAACAGCTAGGTTATTCTTTGATATATATATATATATATATATATGGGTGAAAGACAAAACATGGTTCATAAATGCACCTGTGGGTCTATGGAAACACGGCAGGAGTGCTTTAATAAATATTTTATACTATTTATTGAGATGATTGGTTTAAAAAATGCTTTTGAGGACAACTAATTTGATAGCCAAATATTCGTTGGGTATATTTGTGAAGAGAATTTGCCTTGTTCAATTCCTGGAAGTACCTTTTTCCACAGTTATCACATGAGAGAGAGAAAGATCTATAAACACATTGGGCAGAGCTTGAAGTTAAAATCAAAAAACTACCAAAAAACCCTCCAACCAAATATTTTCCCCAGTGGGTTGGCCAATACTTATATATTCTGATGCACTGTAAATTTCATGAATAGATGTTCATGACAAATGAATTCACATGTGACGTTAAAAGATCATGTAGTTAATGCTTTTTTAACTTGTATATTATAGTTTGTGCCCAGAGGCACAACACAGATTAACAGTCACAGCTCCCGAAAGCCTATAGTCTAAAAGTTTGCCTTGTTTTATAAGAGAAGTTTAGTTTATACACATCCTTTTCCCTCAAAACTGAAAATTAAATCCATTTTGGCTATAAGATCATGCCCACAATAAAATGAGGTTTTCACTTTTCATGTTCTGTATTCTTTTCTCTCTTCAAAAGCTCTTCTATTCTGTTGCTAAGAGAAAAAATACTGTTGCCAAGTAACAAGAAACAGTGACCAGCACTACTAATGTGTCCTCTATCGCATATCAAAAGCAACCTCCCTAACTGTTCTCAAGGACACCAAGAGTGTGAGTTCTCTCATACAGGAGGGAGGAAGAAGAGAGTTGACGTATCTGATTTAGTAATGCTCAGTGGCATTCCTAAGTACCTTAGCACCCATCTAGTAATCATGATTCCAGTCATATTGTGCATGGCTAGTTTTGTTGCTTAATGGCCACTCAGGACAAAACATAACGTAATAAGCAAATATTTCTTTACTTGATAGTATTGGAGTTAAGTATTTTATGTACTTTTCCCTTATGCATAAGACATGCCAAGAAAAACTTCAAAATCTACCAATGTGATAGATGCCATCATGTGCCAGCAATGCCCCTCTGCTGTGTACATTGGCCAAACTGGACAGTCACTACGCAAAAGAGTAAATGGACACAAAACTGACATCAGGAATCATGGCATTCAAAAACCAGTAGGAGAACACTTCAACCTCTCTGGTCACTCAGTAACAGACTTAAAGGTGGCAATTTTGCAACAGAAAAGCTTTAAAAACAGACTCCAACGAGAAACTGCTGAACTGATACCATTGCAAACTAGATACCATTAACTTGGGCTTCAATAGAGACTGGGAGTGGCTGGGTCATTACACAAATTGAATCTATTTCCACATGTTAAGTATCCTCACACCTTCTTGTCAACTGTCCGAAATGGGCCATCTTGAGTATCACTACAAAAGTTTTTTTCTCCTGCTGATAATAGCTCATCTTAATTAATTAGCCTCTTAGAGTTGGTATGGCAACTTCCACCTTTTCATGTTCTCTGTATGTATATATATCTTCTTACTACATGTTCCA